CTCGCGCAGTTATATCGCACGCCTGTTCCTAGGGGCCGTCTCCTCCGGGAACGGCGAACGCCACGTCGAGGGGCGAAAGTTAGTGCCGCCTGGGGGATCGGTACGACCGATAATTGAGGCTTGAATTAAATTAGCCCTCGGTGTTCCATTCCAGAACGACTGAAAGTCTCTCGCGCGTTGCTCGCGCGATAACCGAATTGACCCACGTTCGCCGATCTAATCGCGATTATCGATCACCGCTCTTGCGCCGAGGTTTCATTAGGATCGATAACCGTCCCGCAGTTAAATCGGTTAGGCAAGATGCATAATGGATTAAGCAAACGCACGTGAGTTTGATAGCGATCGGGAACTCGACTCTTCCCTTTGACTCGCGCGTCTTCTCCTCCCGCGGCCCTTACAATTTCGCGATGATAATTCTTACGATGGATTAAAATGGATGCCCGTCCGCGGGCGCGATAGTTCGAGCGCGCGCGTGTGCGTACGAAGAGAGAAAAGAGAGAGAGAGAGAGAGAGAGAGAATCAGTATCGGAATCGTTATTTATTAAACGCTCTGGGACAAGTCCTCTAAAGCGTGAGAGCAAAAATTGTCATAAAAAGTACAACTATGAGTGAGAACGCGATTTATAAACATATATAAATATGTGAGTAAAGAATACAAAGGTATGAGAATATGTTTTGTATAAAATAGGGTTTGTGGAACACGGAAATTGAAATGTTTAACACGAAGAGCAAGATAACATTCCGCATAACAATTCAGTAGAGAAATAAAGATATCTGACAACCTAATACTAAAATGTCGTTGCACACCCTAACACCTATACGGTCCGAGACTGCGGGTGCTCCAGTAGCTTGCGCCTAAATTTTCCAATTTTTTCTACTTCTCGCAGTCGTGATGGGAGATTATTCCAAAATTCCGCGGCAAAACTACAGAATGATCGTTTATAAAATTCGTAGAGAGAGAGAGAGAGAGAGGGAGAGAGAAAGAGAGAGAGAGCCCTCGACGTAAATTGCGGTATCATAACGAAGCGGGGACATCGATTTGCGAAAAATAAACCGGAACAGGGAACTTTATCTCGTATTTCTCCGCGACTTGGAAAGTTCTGAATATCAAAGTTGTAATTTATCGTAAGTACTTAAATTCCCCCGCCGGGGGAGCCCCGCCGTATCTATTATCGTCGCCAATTTTTCGTTTCCCGGAGAAAGCGGCGTTGTCGATGCACACCCCGCCGGAGAATGCGATATGACGCAACTGCCAAAAGGCATCCAGCCCGTATATTTCTCGTCCGAATCGGCGCCATCCATTTACGTTAAATAAATCATATTACGTAATAACGTACGGAGTTGTAATGTACGGCGACACGGAAATGCATTCGCGTCGAGTAAATGGATTTACTTAAAAGTTTAATAATACAAGCAATAATTTATGTGCGCTTTAGGAGACGCTACAGCGGAAACTCATTAAAACGCCGCGATGACGAGATCCGATGAAACGATTAAATCGCATAATGATTTCTATTCTTGCCCGAGGGACTGCGTTTCGAGGGGGGTGTGTGATAATGAAATACGATAAAAGGGCGCGGCTAATCCTCGGAGCCTATGCCCTCGCGGTTTTTTCCCCGCGATCTAGCCGGAGAAAGAAGATGGGCCGGAGAAATTGGTTTGGCGAATTGCGTCCATCATCCACAACAATCGCGAACGAAAAGAAAATTCCCGTTCCCGTGAATGAGAGAGAGAGAGGTTCAAACGGATGGCGCCAATCACCGTCGCGCCATCGGGAACGACGTAACCGCGATTAAAAATTTAAATCAACCATTGGCGGCGATATCGTTAGCGGAACGAGAAAGTTCGCGATTCGGCGGCACCGTAACTTAACCCTAAGTGGAAACACCGGGCGGAGAGAAGAGTGGCGAGAGGATCGGGGATGCGGGGGCGAGGATGGGGGTGAGCGCAGAAATGCGAGGGATTGAGAGCAGAAGGAAGGGGGTTGATCAGCGAGATGTCCTGCGGGGAGATAAGTTTCTCGGTGCAATCAGTGCCTCGCGCTCCCTCTCCCCCGCCCACCCGCAACCCTTCCTCCCGGTCGTCCTCGTGTCTCTCGCAGCAGCCACCTCGACACTCGCTTCCCTTCTCCGAGACCCGAGATAATGCGGCCGCTCACGGCGTTCGGCGCTCGCTTGGCTGCGACGCTTTTCGAAGGTGCTCTCGGCGCCCGCGAGACTCGGGGGAGAGTCTCCACCCGCGAAGCCGGTACACCCAGAAAAAAGTTTGTTCGAATTTTAACCTCGTTAGACTCTTGTTTAATTTCAAAGAGACGATGTCTTTATCTTAACTGAAATTTTATTCGATTGAGACTGGAATTTCCAAGAGAATTCGTATCTATTTCTTCAAATCTAGCGAATGTATTAGTACAAATCGAGGGGGAAACCGCTGACCAAAACCTTGTACACCAACGCCCACTGATGCCCAGTGGGCATTACTTAATTTTATTATCTTGTTTTATCTTACTTTATCTTTATAATGCTCCAACAAGGCCTAATGCCCAAACTAATGCCTAGTAATGCCTAGTAATGCCCAGTAGCGCCGCAAACCTGTACGCCACAATGCCCTCAGCGGTTTCCCTCTCGGTACAAATTTAGTACATACAGGGCCGGTTGTTCCAACCTCTCGGTAAGTTAACTAATAGCGTTTTCCACTGGGAAAGCTAGTGCAACGCTGATGCACACTGAGTGCAATTTTCTTGTTCCACTGTGAAAATCAGTTCATATATTTTCAGCGTTTAATGTTCTGCTGACAAAACTAGTGCAAAAAAACTTGTGCTGAGTGCAAAACTTTTTCTCCGCCGTCTTTAAAGACGGTGGGAGACCAGTACAAATTGAAATTGAGGTTGTGTTTATGCGTAAGGTGTGATATTACGTTAAGGTATGATATTAACATTTTTCTAATTAACTTCATAACAACTATTTTGTTTTTAGTTTTTCCCGTTATAACATTTTCTCGTTTAAAAATCTTGAACATTTTTAGAAATAAAAAAATTAATAAGAATATTATTGTAAAATAAGTAATATTTAATACACATACTGTTTGCTATATATATGTGCTTTTGCACTAGTACAGTTTTTATAGAAACCTAGCACAGCGCTGGTGCTGCACCAGTTTTTCCAGTGGAAAACACTATAACAGTGAAATCGTACGTGTATCTTTATTTTTCCCATAAACTACACAAAGATAGACGTATAATCTAACTATTAAATCAGCTTACCAATAGTACGAATAAACCGGCCCTCAAGAAAACATGATTTCGGCGTATCTCATCTGTTCAACCTAACTAAATCTTTCTCGGGTGTGTAATCGTGACAAATATAGATTTTCCACCGTGGAAAAATTGAAATTACGATTGGTACAGCTGTCGGTGCTCTCCTCTTTATGCGTTTAGCTCATTTTCCGTCTTAAGAAATTAATAAAGTAATTAATTGAAACGCAAATATTTCCCCAGCGAGAAGAGATACAGACGGGCCGAAACGAAGATAGGCGGAACCCGCCGGTCGCGTCAATTTAATAATGGATTAATACGAGTATTTAATCTGAGGTTTAAGGACAAATCCAGATTCGATACGTGGTCACGGGTTTGACAATGCGGCGGAATCCGGTTTATTTAATGGCCGATCGCGGAGCGTTGCACCGATCGTACGGTAGGATTAATTAATAAAGTGATTGATTCGGTTAAACGCATTAATCGCGCCGCGCGCCGCAGGTCCGCGCGGCCGGACCGGCGAATTCCATAAATTCGGCCGCTGCCGATCGATCAGATCGCGTCCGTTCATCGGTGCGTCACGTCCGACCGAGCGGATTCGCCGCAAAACCGGACAGCGGTATCGAATGGATCAACGACTTTGAAAAAATGATGAATGGCGAGTCCTATCGGCGCTAGCGCGCGATCTGTTTGCATTGATGGGTTCATTGTTGTAATTACAAGCGCGGACAAAGGACCATTTTTACGAATGGCGGCTTTGTGTAAAACAGTCGGTTCCGCCGTCAAAGATATTCCTCAAATTTGCAATAACGAGATTCCGATTTTAAGCTGGCGTCAATCTATGCGGATAATGTCAACGAGCATATTCGTTTACCGTTCGTGCCAAATTGTCAGCGAAGCAGCTCTTTCTTTTAACGAGATCACAGGACGCGAATTACCTGCACGAATCGCGTACAGTCTAGCTTGACGCTCGTCTAGGAAAACTTGTAGCGAATTCGATTGCTTGCACTAGTGCGCCCTGAGTGCGCACTCAAGTCTGCCTCGTAGTCAATTTTTATATCTAACTTTGTCTCAAATACAGAGAGTATTTAGCCGAAAACTGACCCGCATGGATGCTACACCGATCATTTTACTGGCTGTACGAAGTATTTCGAGAGACATTTAAGACGATCTTTAAACATAAGAATTGCCTGTAAACAAGCCGTAGTGTGCACCCACAGAAAAAATTCCGGATCCAATGCTATTACACTTCAATGTATCGTAAAATAGGATATAGCGCCAACCATATTTATTATGTATAGAGAAAGGAATAATTTAATCTTAAAAATTCTGAAATCTAGAATAAAATGATAGTATGTATCATCTTTTGTCGAATATCGTGGTGCCAAGATGGAGGGAAAATTTATTCTAAACGCAAGAATATACATATAAACTTATATATTCTTAAATATAGTAAAGTCAATCTTTTTTAATTCGATAGAGGAGAATAAGAATTATTGATTTTATTTTGACATTGTCTTAGTTTTATACTGGATGAGGTTGTGAGAAATAAAAATGCGTCGAGAATAGTTTTTGTCTTGGTAACAGAAATCCTTTCCGATGGTATGCGAGCAAACGAATTCGCTATTAGTCTGCGTAATAATGTGGCCGGTTGCAATCGTGTACACCGCGTTGTCTTAGCAAATGCAAAGATGTAAAATGACGGATACCGCGGACGTTTCCATTACATCGTCTTCTCGCTTGCTTACAGACCGCAGTCCGCCTTTCAACGTCCAAAGCCGCTCGGTCTGCACGACGGAGGCCGGCCGTCGCTCAACTTTCTTCCTCGAGATGTTCTGAGAGCAATTTAACTTGGACTCCGGTCGAAGGGTGCCGGTCCCGGGGCCCGCCGGTAGGAGAGGAGCCAAGAGGAGTCGCCCCGCGGAATAAAAGGTGCGGCAGGAGAGCGCGTAATGCGGGAGTGCGGAGGCGGAGCGGCTCGCGGAACGTGGTCGCGGACGAATTAGAAGTGGTCTCCCAGGAACCGTCGGAGTGCCGCCGCTCTCGCCGCTTCACGAGGTACACCCGGCTGTCCACCGACGACCCAGGTCGCCGTACGGTTATGCTGGTGGCGTCGCTGCAGGTGGCCGCCAGCAAATGCTGTCATGCCGCTGCCATGCCAGCCGGCGGCCCGGAGCCGGCCGCTGGCCACCACGTGGTGCCTGATCAGGCCCGGCCGTTGCTCGCTCGCGCTGCTGCCCCCGATCGTCCTGCTAATCCTGCTGGTGGCCGGCTGCGGCCGCGCGGCCTTCTCGCAGGCCGCGACTCGCTACGCCTCGCGCATCGTCGAGACCAAGAGCGGACAAATACGCGGAATACTTCAGGTATGTATCGATTCTTCTTGCGGAGGGACCGCGGGAGGGGCTGCGAGAGAAGGTGGAGCGTATAGCGGCGGAGGATGAGGTGGAGAGTGACAGGGTGTGGGGTATCGAGCGACGAACCACATCCCCGGCAGGATTTGGATATCCTGGCGGGCAGGTGGAACGAGCGCAGGCAGCGGTGCGACGCCCGCTCGGACATTGAGTCCCGGCCCGATGTAAATGGCGGATTGTGATTCCCCGCGATCGGCCCGTTCCCGGCGGTATTGCGTCGCTGTTTCCGCGACGTACACGGCGAAAAGCGGGATTTATTACCGGGCTGACCCCGCGGAGGCGAAATTTTTCCGTCTGCCGTTCGGTAATAGAGGAAAGTCTCCTATTATGAGACAGACTCTTAATACGTGGTAGTGGAGTTTCTGCTAAATTAACCAGGCACCAACTGTTGGTTCCATCACATATTTATTGCTCTTGGAGTAAAATTTGTCTAGTGGAAATTTCATTGTTAAATCGTGTAATTGTTGCGAAAAAGAGATTTGGGACTGAATTTGGCTGTTGAAAACCCGCAATTTCATATTAGAAGCCTATCTCGTAATAGGGGACTTTACTAATTATTCGTGACAACGCATGGGGGCTTTTTTATATATACATGGGGGCTTTTTTGTATATATATATAATTCTGACAGCGGGATTCTTTGAAAATTGGAGATAGCTTTCGCGAGGAAAAGCAATCCCCTTGCGTTAAGCTTCCTCGACGTGGAGCGGAAGCCGCTGTAAAACAGTACCGGTGCTCGCTGGCAATCGATTTGCAGAATCTCTCGCGCAAGTCTATTCTTCCCTGTTTACACAGGGAACGGGGCGCCGGTTATGATAGTGGATACGCGATGACATGAATATTTGGATATTATGTGTACAGGATGGGATAATATCTTGGACACGAATTAATCTCCTGCCGCGGTTCGTGCGCGAAATGTGAATCAATTTTGGTCAAGAGCTGTACAAACGTGCGCGCCCAGTTAAATGTCTTGTTAACTAATATCGAAATAATAATTACAACTATGCAGCCGGCTGCAGCGGGTATTCTCTCTCTCCCCCCTCTCTCTCTCTCTCTCTCTTTCTCCATTGAGTTGCCGTATTACTGGTAATTAATATCTATTTTCATTTTAACAATACACCGCCTCTGCGCCCGCTAATGTTACTATATAATGGCGGCATTAATAATACCAAATAGGGCTTTCAACGCGCGACGTTAAAAGGGACGTTCGGCGCGTACGAGCGACGCCCCCCCCCCCCCCGCGCGAGATTTTTAATCTTCGCGCGTCGCCAAGGGCGGCGTTCGGCAAAAACGAGGATAAGAACTGTATCTAATGTTCTCTCATTAACATCCCGTGGAACGTCGGTGTCCCCCGGCGCATTAATCTTGCGATTTCAATTACTTCCACACTACTGTCTTCCTACATCTCTTAAATTTGACCGCGTCGCCGCGCGTCTCCCCCCCCCCCTTACTTTACCCCTTTCTTCCGCTTCTTTTTCCCGCCGCTTGTTCCGTCCAATCTAACTCGTCGTTCTCGGCGGCCAACACCTTTTCCCACCCTTTTTTTCTCCTCTCGCGCTTGCCCACCGACGTACTCTTTCATTAAATGCGTTACTGTCCTCCTATCACTCTCGCAAACTTTGCAGACCTCCTCCCTGGCTTTCCTTTTCCCGGCGTCAGTCTCTTCTCTCTCTTCTCTCTCTCTCTCTCTCTTTCACCGTCCCTGGGACTTATTACCGCACCTAAATCTTGCTGTCGACCCGACGTTAAAAACTTCCCTTTGCCTGCTAAGTATCTTTAGCGAACGATAGCTCTTCTATCTTTCTTCTGTTCTTTTCGCCGCGCTGTAGCGCTCTAATTAACTAAGAACACGCGTGCCGCGCTCGTTATCTCCCCCGGCGTATCTCTCGCAGTTACGATACGCGCGCTCTCTCTCTCTCCATCTCTCTCTCTCTCTCTCCATCTCTCTCTCTCTCTCTCTCTCTTTCTCTCTCGGAACGCGTCTCCTCAAAAGAGTGCAGCGAAACCGTTTCTCGTCAAACGACACACTATACAACGGAATTGCACGAGCGAGGGGGGGCTTTTGTCACGCGATCCGAAATTTCGCGAGAGCTGGATTAAAATAATTAAATGCGAGGTGCGTAGCGCGGAAAGATCCCCGTCCCTTATCCCCCCGCCCCCCCCCGTCCCATCTCCAATACGCCCCGCGTACGGCCGGAGCCCTGGCGGGAAGCTGAAAGCGGTTCGATATCTCGAATGTCCCCGCGCGCGACAGCGAAATTTTTCCAGGAGACAATTCGCTGGCAGCTCGTCCATCGGAGCCGGGGGCTCCGTTTTCACAACACCGATCAGTCAGAGTGCGGGCGGGGCCGATTTGACATTTACCGCGGCATTCGCTACGCCGGATGGTAGACATCAATTACGTCTAATAGATATTCATATCGACAAGAGGCGGATCGATGGACGTCCCGATGATTCGACCCCACGGCGCCCGGCGCCGCTCTCGCCCCCCCCCCCCCCCCCCCCCCCCCTTCTCTCCCCCGCGACACGGTCGAGCCGGCGGAATTTTGCGTTTCGCATCCCAAAGTATCCGCGGGCGGGAGATATTGCCGTCCCCTCCCCTCCTCTCCGCGGCTTTACAGCGGCAAAAATAAATTCGCGGCCGCCGCGGACCGCGGGGGAATCGGCCAATTTGACCGCTCCGCTATCAATCCGCGCGCGGCATCCGCCGCGAGCCGACAGCGGGACCGAAAGAGTAAAGCTTTCATTCCCGCGCGTTATTTAACTTTCTGACGCTTGATATTTGCGCGCCCGTCGTTGCACTCGCGAAATTACGAAATCGCGCTCCCTCGAAAATTGTACCGTCCCCCCCCCCGCCCCTCCGACCCTCATCCCCCCCGACCCCCCGTCCGAAAAACGGATCGCGGAGCGGCGTTGAATCCCGATCTCGGAATTTCATTCACCGCGCTCCTATCCCGTGGCAGCTTCCCAGGCCCGTGCGAGACGCGTATACAAATTATACAGGATATTGCAATTTGGAACTTCGATACTTCGGGGAAACAATGTTGACTTATTAACTGCTACGAGCGAAGAGCGAAATAATTGAGGCGCGCCGGTAGCGCCGGGAGCTTCCCCGATTTCTATAGGGGGATCCATTTTAAATACGCGCAGCTGCGTCTAAAAGCGGATCTTACGCGCGGGGTATTACGCGGACCGCGCCGCGCCACGCCGTCCCCGATCTCCCGTCCCTTTCGGCGCCCCGTTTCGCCGGTATACACCGCGCGGAGTCTCCCTACGCTGGGCGGAAGAACCGTCGTCGTCGTCGTCGTCGTCGTCGCGAAAGGGACGCGGGATTATTGCACGCGTGCAGCACTCGTAGCGCCGCGCGTCTCGCGCGATTGAAACATCCGCGCGGATCAGGACGCGGGGGCGCGGAGTCGCTTCGGCCGGGAATTGCGGATCCGCAATTTACCGGCCTTTTTTCGCCCCTGCGCGGCGGTCCCCGGGCGGATGGATGGATAACGAGAAAACTTTTTCGCTCAGGACGCCTCGTGGCCTTTACATTACGTCGTAACGTGCCGCACAACTCACGCTTCTTGGGTTTTTTATTATTTTTTTTCTTCCCGTCCGTCTCCGTCCGTACCTCCCCCGCTCGCGCTCGCGTTCACGCTCGCTCGCGTTCGCCATTCACCGGTCCATTTCGCACGATCGAGCGCCATACGTTTCGCCGGAGGAAAACATTGGCTCTGTCAAACGCGCGCCGACTACAACGCCTCTCGTACCTCCGTTGTGATAGATATACAGGGTGTTATGTAATACGCGCCTCACCTCTTATTTACGGATAGAGCGGACTGGGCTGACAATGAGTCGAAAAGTCCTCTACCACTTTGCAATTTTCGCAATAGTTAACGAGTTATTAATTATTAAAAATCGCTGTCTTAGCCCGCTGTCTATTCAAGCTCGCGGTGAGACGCGGCCGTCCCGCGATCGGTGTTGCTAGACGCGCGAGGAACTGTTTCTGACACGCGGCAAGGGCTGCGTATAATAAACAACTGCTCGCTCCTAGCAACGCCGATCGCGGGACGGCCGCATCTCGCAGCGCGCTCGAATTGGGCGGTAGGACGACGGGCTAAGACGGGCTAAGACAGCGATTTATGATAATTAATAACTCGTTAACCGTTGCGATAATTGCAAAATGGTGGAGGACTTTCCGACTCATTCTAGTCCGCTCTATACGTAAATAAGAGGTGAGGCGGGTATTACATAACGCCCTGTATAATTTCTCACGTCGATCGACCTGCAACCCGCGAAAAAACCGAGCGACGTTTTCATACGGGACGTTGCACAACGACAGCGCACGAGGATCTTTCGATTGAACGGGCTAAGACAGCGATTTATAACAATTAATAACTCGTTAACCGTTGCAAAAATTGTAAAATGGTAGAGGACTCCGACTCGGTCTAGTCCGCTCTACTCGTAAATAACAGGTGAGACGGGTATTACGTGACACCCTGTATATATATATACGTAGATGTGTATATGTAGGCAGAATTGTTTTGCATATTACCGCCCGCAGGCACGTACGGCCGGTCTCGCCGGCGCATCTTGAGCGATGAGAATCTCGAGCGGTCGATTATCGTTACGCGATTGCGGGCGGGCTCGCGTTTATCTATTATTGCACGCGGAGCGTATTGATAAGGATATACGTGTGCACGTATCGACGTCGCGAGTATTTATTAACCCTCTTGCGCGCCGGGCCCGGTCGGATATTGAATTTTGCACGTATGCTGAATTCCTGGCGGGATATCCGGGTCAATTTGATTCGGACATTGTCCTTATCAGAGGCACGCGCCCCGGGTCCTCCCCCCGTCGGCATCCGCCCGAGCCGTAATCCGGGCGTCGAGGACGCGGAAGTGACGCGGCTGCCCGCCCTTACTTTTACGCGAGAATCGCGCGCCGATTTCGCGTCCTCCGT